GAGGCCAAAATACCTCAGAGCACGTGAACAGAATTGAAAGATGGGAGAGGGAGAGAGGGAGGCATGTGGGGGCGTGACAGAGCAGATAGAAAAAGTGGGACAAAGAGATGATACAGGTCAAATCAGAGCGGAGAGCAGCTGCTGGACAAAATACCAAACAATGTTAAACTATGTTGCATTACTCTCCTAAATATAGATTTATGTTGCCTTTCTGGCTGACATATTGTGTCATTTCTGGATGAGCAGGGCCGTAGCTTTTTAATTCACTGTATGCATGCTAGCAGGAATTCTTTAGGTATATGCGCAAGTGTGCTGAGGGGTTCTATTTGTGCAACATCAGCAGCCATTAACCCCCTGTGTGGATGACTCACACGTTTAGGGGCATGTCTGAACAGCCCAACACTGGAGGGGGAACAGGATCCATCCCCATCCACAATTTCTTCACAAAACTGTGGTGTTATGGTTGAAAACATGCAGAATGTATTTATTTGACTAATTTTGTTCGGTATTTAATTTGTCATTTTCGTGTCTCTAAAAATAATTATTAAAAGTACAGTTTTGCAAATCATACATTATATGATTTGCAAAACTGTACTTTTAATATAATGTGACCCCAAATAAATAAAGAAAACATGCAGAAAAAATGTAAAATACATTCAATTCCAAGCAAGTTTTCACATACAAGGGATTTGAATTTGTGAAATTAAAAGTGTAAAGTAGCCTGTTAGGAAAATCAAAAAACACAAAAAGAAGATGAAAACAATAAGGATAATACATTTTTTTACTGGTAATATACCTGGTTATTTTGACCAATGCTCAAATAATGTAGTGAATTTGTAGTTTACTAATGGGAATTATTTGAATATATCTTTTTTTCCTTACAACATATAGATTGATTATGTGACTGATTATATGACAGCAGCTAATTTGATTCAAGTGGGGGAAAAAACACATTCCCCTCCCTTTCCCTATGGTGATTTATAAGGACACCCAGATAGAGCCCACCTGTTGCAGCATTTCTCGCTTGTGTAGACAGAGCATGCACATACACGTGAAGGTGGAGGCGCACGAGGGAGGGGGAAGAGAGGTGGGGGTTGACTATCAGCCAATCAGATGTGACCTCCTCCTCAGCGCTATAAAGCATCGAGACCCTCTCAGAAGCACATCATTCACTCAGTGCGCTTCTTCCTTCTCACAGTACGCACTAGTGTTGACTCTTCTTCCATCTACCGAACCCGATGCAGGATTAACTTCATCCTTTTAACCAAGAGCCAGTTTTGTCTCCATTTTGTATTACTTGGACGGAATTGACTAACGGATCAAATATGCGTCTTATCCACAACATGAGTTCCATTGCGGAGTATTCACCAGTTGAGAGCTCGGTCCCCAACCGGGTCATTAAAATGGCTGTGATAGGAGGCAGCGGAGTTGGAAAAACAGGTAAGAAAAAGGATACAAAAGAAACGACTACGTTGTACTTTACTTACAGTTCAATCTTAAAGTGATTTATGTTGTGCTCTAGTCGTTTATTTGTCTAACATTGTATTTTTCTTTATTTTAGCACTCGTTGTGAGATTCCTAACGAGGCGCTTCATCGGAGACTATGAGAGAAATGCTGGTGAGTAACTGAGAATAACACGTTTTAAATGATGACGTTTGGCTCAATTTGCTTCTTTTTTTTTATAAAGTGAGACATTTGTGCTAAGTATTTTTGTTTTCTTTTGTGTGCGCAGGTAATCTCTACTCCAGAGAAGTCCAAGTCGATGCAGAGCAAGTGACCATCCAGGTTCAAGACACTCCTGGCGTTGAGGTAAGATCCTTTTCTATTCTCATTTTTTTCCCTTCTAGCTATCTTCTCCCAGACAGAAACCAGTCAGTTTATTTACCCTGGGCTGACTGCAAAGTAACTGAGCCCGCATAGTTCAACATATGAAAATCTGTGGAGGTTAATCCAATAGAAAGATAATATAATCAAATTCACTGTCTGGCTGTTAAGATCATCTAAGCCTTTCGTGACTGGGCACCAGTCCAAAAACCAAAGATCTGTGTGTATGTACATTTTCTCCCGGAGTAGAGCCCTTCAGTCTGGCTGTCTAATCTCCCATTTAGCCTAATAGATGTCTGAGGCCAGGGTAAATGATACCCTGATGCTGATCCAGACTCCTCCATCATCCACACCTCTCTGTTCTGCAGCAGTAACACTATAGCTCCTGTCTGCCTCAGTCAGCATTCCTTTCATTTCTCAAGATTAATTGCAAAAAAAGTCAGGGAACATTCAATCTTCATTTTAGCTCAATAGACAATGCCTACAATGTTTTTTAAGTAAGTGTTCTGGGTTGAGTATTAATCAGTCTCCTTTTTTCTTTCCTCTCCAGATGACAGATAATGGCATTAACTTACCAGATCATGTGACCTGCTCCATCAAGTGGGCTGATGCCGTGGTTCTGGTGTACTCTGTGACCGACCGACGCAGCTTCGATCTGATCGAGCAGTTGCACCAGCAGGTGGTTCGTACCGGAGGCGCTAACATGCCCCCGGTGATCCTGCTGGCCAATAAGGCCGACCTGCTGCACCTGAGGCAGGTCGACGCCCAGCAGGGCCCTATGCTGGCCGAAACTCTGGGCTGCTCTTTCTATGAAGTGTCTGCCAGCGAGGACTATAGCCAGGTGCACAAGGCTTTCCACAGGCTTTGCTGCCAGCTAGCCAAGCAGCCGGCTCCTGCCTCCAACTCCACCAGCGCCGCCACAGAGAAGAGGCGCTCCCCCCTCATCCCAAGGCCAAAGTCCCCCAACATGCAAGACCTGAAGAGGCGCTTCAAGCAAGCCCTGTCAGCCAAAGTCCGGACTGTCACCTCGGTGTGAGGAGCACTAAGAAATGAACATGGTCCCGGGTGGCCAGAGAAAGAAAGCATTGAGGAAAGCTGAGATAAGCAGGCAGAAGATGTACGCTTCTCAACTGAAGTCCTGAGTCTGGCCGATTGAAGGCAGATGTGACACAGCTCTACGTAGCGAGATGATTCTTGGTAATGACCTCTGAGTGGCAGGTGATCGCTCTGTCCGAAAGCATGGGTGAGGAGGTTCATCATCTGTTCAGGAGCAGAAACTACATTCATGAACACAGAAGCAGCTGTGAGGCTGACTGAGCCCAAGACTCTCTGCACATAAAAAAAGAAAGAAAACTAAGCTCTCCTGGCAACAGCAGAGCTGAAGGACGGCTTATTTTGAGCTGTGTTGCCCATTGTGGCTTTTCTTTATTCAGACTGCCACTACTTGGCACCACTAAATGCTGGGTTTTATTATACCAGCCACTTGAGCCAGGGCTCTGTGTAGCCATGTGTGTGTACTAAGTTTCTTGCATGAAAATACCTGCAGTATATGTTTGCAGTGTTCAGTAGCATCACTGTGCAGAATGATGGGAGAAGGGGGTGGGGGGGGGTTGTAGCGGGGCAGCAGACACAATATGTAGTGTGTGGCCGTTATTATACTGATGCACTTTATAAAATGAAATGATCCAAAGGGCTTATTGTTATTTATATGTTCCAAACATGACTTTTTGTTCACAATAAAAGGATGAAATTGAATTCTATGTCTCTGGTTTTTCATTTATCAGTTTTAATATGCCTATTCGACAACCGAAACAATGACGTAAGCAGACCATACATTTCAAATCACTCATTTAAGATGGTTTACCAATATGGTATCATAGTGCATTATCAATCATTTTCACTACTTAAAAACATCTCAGCTGTTTTATAAGAGAACGATTAAATATTTCCTTTCCAATCTGGTCTAATGAGAAAGAATACGTTTCTCTACAGTGTAAAGCAGTAATATTCTGCCCACAAATCTGAAACTGTATTTCACAGATCATTTCAAACTGATCATAAAGGAATGGTAACAAAGCAACAATATATTCAATTTATATGTTTACGTCTTTATAACTAACATAAGAGCTGACGTAGCTGTTGACGTAGCTACCATGCCCCCTCCTGTGAATATATAGATTGTAGCGTCTGCACTTAGGTGTGTTGATTATCATGAGGTGTTAAGTGCTATACTAGAGGACCACAATGGCAAAAAATCCTTCTGGCTTTATAGTGTTTTCATCCTCTGATCTATAACAGAGGCAATGACTGCAGTGCGGTGTTGTGTTTTTTTGAATCATCAAATAAAAGCTAACAATCGAACAATAGCATGTCCTTGGCTTTAAGACACAATGAGGAACGTCATTGATGATGTGAAGGGGACGACTAATACAGGCGAGGGAAGTCTGACCAATGGACAACCCCATTCTTATCAAATGCTTAGATAACAGCATTAATGAATAGCATTGCATAAGAGGAGCATGACTGTACTGCCGCTTCTCAGGTCCTTAGATCTGCCTACAGATAAAAACCCTGGTGCGGTCATCAGCCACTGAAAATGAAGATGACAAAGAAATCTAAAGAAAAGCCTGAACCAACAGCAGTGGAAGAGTTCATGTTCAGGCTCTACTGAGGATACATCTCCCAGAGGACAAAGACAATAAATCAATCCCTTTTCCAATTAACTTGAATGTGTTAGAGATCTGTTTATTTGCAGTCCATAATCTAATTAGGCAATCACGAATGTATCCCAGTCTAATCTGTCATAAAAGCCTGAAAACACAGGACTTATTCCTCTTTTGGACATGTGGTACACTCTGGTTGTCAATGCAGGTGAACTTACTCAACAATAGCTGAGGTGATTCATGTGGAAGAGAGTAAAGGGAGATTGGGAGGAGGGGGCTCCAAGTGTGAGCAAATGATGGGCCAAAGCAGACGCTGTGAAACGTCTTGTTAATTATTCTGCTCTTATGCGTCACTGTATGAAGTGTTGAGGTGTGAATGGACCCTAACAGATTGTGTGTATTCTCCATCACAACAGCAAGCCTTCTTTGAGTTTACACATACAGTCTACTTTCAACACAGCCTGGTCAAAATGCCTAACAACTGAGCAAATGAAAGGCATCATCACACGACCGTGTTTGACAAGTCACTGGTTTTATTGTTTCATATTAACATTTGATGTCATTTCACACCTCTTGCTGAAAAACACTTTAAAGCGGCTTTGGATGGAGAGTTTCTGTTTGGAATACACACTCGGATATTTACATTTTTTATTATGTCTGCAAGAAAAATAAAACCCAATAGGTACTTTAATATCATAGCTTTAGATTTCACTTTAGAATACACACATAGACATGAGCAGGGAAGGAATGTTGCTGAATCGTTTTCCTTGATTTCCTCTTGCAGCTTTGACAGTGATTCTCATTTACTGACACTCAAATCACACCCGAGGAGGTGTCGAGAGGTCGCACCATGTGTCATCTTCCATGTGTCATCTTCCACGTGTGTGTGCATGGTGTGTTTCCACGTGACGGCCCCTTAAACACCGATGTCAGGCAGCAGTCTTTGGGTGGTGAAGAGCAGCTCGGGGATATCCGTCGGCCTCAGCAATCTGGTAGACAAAACCAGCACCTGTAGAGAGCACAGCACCGTCAGGAGGTGAAAACGGGTCACTGTGACACAAGGCTCATAGATGACCTGAATGTTACGGTGAGTAATGTGCACGTTGGCAATCAGCATGAATCAGGTGCCCTCATCTGGCTTTACTTTCATCATTTGATTTATTTATTATAGCTCCAGGATTATCCCTTTACACGATGTCTTTGGTCCTGATAACATATCAAAGTGACTCTTTCAGACATGACACAAGCATACAATGTATCACATTTATGAAATAACTAAATAACGTTTTATATTGAACTGTTAAATCTACATGGATTTGACACTTAAGGAAGCAACATTTGAGGTAGGTAATCCATTTTAAACTTATTTAGAATAAAAAAAGGTGAATAGTCTTGCAACACTGACAATTACAATTTGGTGTGGAATGTTTTACTTTCAAAAACCTAGATACAAAAATAGTCCCTCCTACCTCCAACCGTCATACCAAGAGAAAAGTGTGTTATCTATACTTTGAGTGACTTCAGCTGAAGCTCTCTCCAAGTACTTTCTCCTTTAGAATAAGATCCCCAGTCCTCTTACAGCATGCTCTATAACAGAGGAGCTCTGTTTCTCCTGCAGCAGTGTTGCTTTAACTCTGGGTCAGCACCTAAAATGGCAATGGGCCTGTTTGTAGTGGCAGGGTAAGTGTGTTTCGGAGGAATTTAGTCCAAGTGCAAGACGGAAACTTTGCAGTTCACTGTAACTATTCATCAGCGTCTGGTCCACAGACATCCGCCATCATGTACACACACTCGCTAGCGTACAGTATGCAGGGCATGCATGTGCTCAGGTCAGTGTGTGTGTGTTCTGAGGTCGGCATGTGTGTGGCCCAGCCGTTTTAGTATAAGCTCGTCTTTATTCAGTTTTCCTGATTACAGATGGAAGGCTTTGATCGTCGCCAGGCCTTTCATTTCCTCTGACCTCCTTCTCAAAGCCTTTTATTAAGACAAACCCACATAACCCAGCCTGGTCTCCCTCCTCTCCCCCCTCCCCTCTCACAGGGAAAACACGTTCATCTGCATGTTGTGTGGACTGCATATGTAATCGGCACTACAGCGTCATGAGCACACAGGCAGACAGACACAACAGCTCATGGATGTGAGGCGTGTTACTGCCACCTGTGTATGTAGGTCAGTGGGGATGTTGGCTCAATGTCACATATTCTCCTGTCTGTAACCTGCCCTCTGATGGCCACGGTGTATCTCTCATTATGACCAAAGAGACGACCCGATTACATGTAATGTCAGTTCAGGATGCACCATTTGAATATTGCTGACTGATTTTGTACTTTTTTTGATATTTGTAAAGCAACATGAGTGATTTTAGTTAGCATTTGAATGAGTCTTTAGCACATGTTACCCCTTAAAGACCTATTGTGATATATCAAAGGTTTATAAAGTGAATCATCCACACACCATCTCTATCTGCAATGTTTATTTATTTGACACATACATATCAAAGACTATTGGATGGTTATAGATGCTCACTTGAATGTATGAATGAAAGACTTTTAAGTTTGGGTTTCACTTTGACTTCAGTCATTAGATTAAAAGTACATTTTCAAAGGACACACAAAGGCTCTGAAACATGTGTTCTGCCATGGGAGGACAGGGACAGGTTGATGGAAGTGTGTAGAGATAAGATGTGAAAGTGAGGAGAAGAACATATTCTACTGTATATCCTGATGATGACATCCATCAACAGCTCATTGATGTTAATGAATGTTCATACTTAAACATGAACAAGGTTCTGGCTATGAGTGGCTTTTGGCTTATTCCCTATTCTTAACGAAACAAGCACGTATACGCAGCTTTTTATTTGTATCGGGAAAACACTCTAAAAGCCCTATTGTGATAGAATATCAATGGTTTATAAAGTGAATCATCCACACATCATTTCTTTCATGTCTATTGGGTGGTTATAGATGCTCACATGCTTGTTTGAACGCAATACTTTTCACGTTGACTTCATTCATTGGATTAAAAGTAAATTTTCAAAGTTTGGCATTCAGGGTTCTGATAATGGGCAGCCTTACATATAACCATCCACTCAACGACTCATTCATTTCTATCAATCCAGTGCTTCAGTTTCTCTTGACCATGGTAGAAGCCATATTCAGATCTTTAACATCAAGTCAAAAAACTATCTCGAATAAGTCACATAAAGAAGCATACAAGTAAAACAAGTATGGAAGAATAACAAAATGTACTTACTGTACATTAAACAAAAGCAGTGAAGTGAAAAATATTATATTTTCTTCTGAAATAGAGAAGTATCATAATAACACAGAAATACCTTAACATTGTAATGAAATACTGGAAGAAATGTACTTAGTTACAGTCCACCACTGCAACAATGCTTGGAAAGCAACGTTCAAACAGTATATTCAGGTCCAAGCAATATCAAAATACACATGGTTTAGTCAATAAAGCTGCATCAAGAACTTCTTTCAAAGGGACCTCAACAATTAAGTCTTAAAACCGATTCAGACAAACTTTTTCTTTCTCCTAAAGAGATCGGAAATACTTCACCAGCCTTGGTACAGGGACAGTTTGAGAAAATAAAGCTTAGATTTTCAGGGTTTTTGCTCAAGGAAAATATACAAAAGCTGAAGAAAACAGAATTCAAACCTTTAAACAGCAGGAAAGGTAGAAAACACAGCGATGATGATGATGATGATGATGATGATGATGATGATGATGATGCAGAGATTTACACATTATTCATCTAGCCTCTACTCACCTGGGTTCCTGGTTTGTGAGTGGAAACGCTCTCTTTGATGAGACGTAGCTCTGCCGGAGTGACGCCACCAACCAGGAAGAGGAAGAGCAGGGGGTTGTCGCCAGGATGTGGGCGACTCACCTGTGAACGGGACATTGTGATTGGTCAGTGCATTCCTAATCCATTGGAGATACAGTTTCTTACTAAAGAATAGTCTGTGATTAACAATGTGATATTGTAGTGATAGTGATGATTGGGCTTAAAGCTCAATGGATAAGGTCTACTGGCCAAGTGTTTTAATGGCAGGTACGTGGATTTGTAAGCAGGTGTTTAAACACACTTTCATACAACGCTTGCAGATAGAAGCGTTATCATGAAGCCCCTTTCCAGTATAGCACTCACTCACTAATAATTCGCTTGGGCATCAAAGAACATGAATGACTGTCATTAAGATGGGTTTTTATAGTGAGTACAGTCAGTGTGTTTTTCTGCTGAGCGTGATTGGCTGATGGGGAAATAATGGCTGAGCGTTCTATTGGTTGTCGAGCGGCAGTCAGAGCACACATGCAGCGTGCGGAGGCTAACCGAGCAATCATAGCCACGGGAGGGCGGAGCCGGGGAGAGAGTGGCTGTACACGTGTGGCCCCAGCGGACTGGCGTGAAGCATGTCAGGGATGATTCATGTCTGACATGTGAAGCCAAATAATGTGATGCCTCCCTGAGTGTTCTAGAGTGTTCTGCTCGAGTGGTATTCAGAATTTGAAAACACGGATTCAGTGACACAGACACTTCAACTACATGTGCGGGTTAATCACCGACTGCAGGGTTGCTGGATACACAAATGCTGTGAAACATGTGTTCTGCCATGGGAGGGACAGGTTGATGGAAGTGTGCAGAGATAAGATGTGACAGTTAGGGAACGTGAGGAGAAGAAAATATTCTGTTGTATGTCCTGATGATAACATACATCAACAGCTCATTGATGTTAATGAATGTAATGTTCATAAATGTTACACTTTGGCTTATTCCCTATTCTTACCAAAACAAGCACGTGTTTGCAGCTTTTTTTTTTTAAACGGAAAACCCTTTAAGAATCAGGGAAAGATTGTTTTCCCATTATGGGTAGACGGGGACGCCTTTCTTTTAATGTTATCCTCGTGTGTCACGTTCATGACAGCTGACACAGGAAACAGAGTCAGCAATGTGGTTGTTGATTGTGAATATGTATTTCTAATTAAGTCTCCCTTTCAAATAAGAGGTGATGAATGTTTCATGGGACCGATTAAAAAAGATAGTTTTGATGACTTTTATTTTATTTGTGCTGAGTTTAAAACATTTTCTTTTTGTGATTAGAGATCAGTCTATTGGCTTTAAGAAGGGCATATTAATTGTATGTTTTGGGTGTTAAAATTATAATCATCCTTATCCCTGTTGATTTTATTTATTATATGTTCACCACACATGAAAGAACCGGTCCACGTGCATGTTTGCATCATTGCCTATTGGATCTGGAGCCGATTCAAAACTGTGATAAATGCAGAATAATTTGTCCTGGCAGTTAATTCTGATCGTCACCTCTCAATTGGATTCTCACTACGAGGAGGGAAACAGTACTTTAAAATAAAAGCACTGCTCCACAACCTCCCTACATTTAAAATTCCACTTTGGAATCAGGACCCAGCATCACCACTGCTCTTGCTGATCAAATGTATTTTATGAGGTGCCTCAGACAGATTTTTAAGTTTGGAATCATGTTACCAGCATTGCTCACATACTATCAGGTCAGCGAGACCTGATGTCAAGCTTCACAATCATTGTCAAACAATACGTAATTTGCTCTTATGTTCGTTTAGCATGAAACACTTGAAATAACTTAAGGATAAGTTAAAAAAGAAAGTAGAAAGAAAGTGAGGTCATAAAAAACTATTTCTGCTAAAAAGTAGCAATAGCAATGATGGAGAGTCAGACCTAAACATTTCAGATGTGTATATCTCATGTTTTATTATCTTTGCTTTTAAATGAGTGTTTTTAACTGCCATTTTATATCTTTGCTTTTAAATGAGTGTTTTAAATGCCATTTTATAATATGTTTCTTAATGCCTTTCATTTATGTAAAGCACTTTGAATTGCCTTGTGTTGAAAGGTGCTATATAAATAAACGTGCCTTGCCTTGCCTTCAAGTGTGAGATTACAAAGCAATGTGACACAGTGTCAATTCATGTTGCACGTGTTAATGACAAGGCTTCAGATGCCCCTTTCACACCAACGCGTTTTCAGCTCCGGCTCGGAGCCTGAAAAGTACCGTTTTTTCCTGTTCACACCGCAGAGCTTCTTAGCTCCGGAATCCGGTTCACTTCCAGCTCCAAATTTTTTTTAGAGCTTCGGAGCTAAGAGGCGGCGTCGCTTACGTCTCTCTTACGTCGAGGCGGGGGCAGGGGCAGGATCAACCGCCTGAACAACAACAAATTGCCTGCGTGTGATGTTTGTAAAGTTCCAAGTAAAGTCGTCCCTTGTAAAGTCGTCCCTTGTAAAGTCGTCCGATGCCTTCCATTTCGTTTCGTAAGAGGATAACCAAAGCGAACAGCGCTTCAATACAATCGGCCATTGTTGTTGTTGTCGATGTGAGGGATTTCCGCGCGGTTTGGATTTTATGAAGCAGGCACGTAAACGGTGACGTCATGACGCAGCAGCGGCAGCTCTGGGCGGTGTGAACAGAGCGGGAGCAAGAAAAGGGAAACCGGAGCTGAACCAGAAAAGCTCTAGAAAGGGAAAAGCGCTGGTGTGAAAGCCGCAATAGTCATTGTAAGACTTGGAGTGCTCCTGCAACATGGCTCCTTACTCCTAAGAAGCAAACAGCAAATTGAGCTTCATAATTAATAACAAAAAGAACCGCTGTGACTTAAGGGCTTATTTGGTTGCTGATGTTAACTGCAGCAGCCAGATCACCTGCAGGACACACCGAACATAAACTCTCATTTACACAGTTTGTGCAAAAGCTCTCCCTCAGTCAGAACGCAGGCTGCAGGGTTCGCTGTGTTTAACGATACAAACTGTAGCATACGCAGCGGCTCTGTGGTTCAAAATAGACTTTTTATTGGGTTGTTTTAATTTACAGCATAAAGGGTGTGCTCCTGCAGAACGCTCCAAGCTCAGGTTTATAGACGCAGTCCGTCTGAGTTGGTGGTTCGTGGGCCAAGTTTGTTAATTTGTGTAAAACCAGGCTGTGGTTACACAACCCGTCTAATGCCCCCGGGTTATCGTCCGTTTAAGCAGGCCCAGATGTGGGACAATCAGACTGTGATGGATCAACATTACCCACAAACCCAAAACTATGTGTCTTTTGGAGGAATATGAATACAACATTGTGTAAAACTCCTGCCAACAATTCCTATTCTATGAAACATTGTTTAAAGAAAAGGATCATAAGAATAAAAGGGTTTCTTGTTACTTAGACGCTCAATCACTGACAGTATCTGTTTCTCTTCCAGTGTTTCTGTTTCTGGGAAGCATCAGTTCCTTAATACCAGATATCATTTGAGGAATATATTTTGCCCAAACAGTGACTGGGTGTAATGCTTAGATGCATTTAGATATTGTTAAGCAAATCTGTTTGAATACAATGTATATTTGTATAGTTGTTAGACCTTTATAAGTAGGCACATCAAAAATCATATATAAAAAGTACAACAGAGCTTTCGATGGTTCACTGGCCGAAAAGGGTAAACACTGAACATGTGCAGACATGATAAGCCTACTCAAATGTCAAATCAGGTCATATACAGGCAGTGGAAGAGGGCACTTTATTTCCACAGTGGGTAGTTGTGTGAAAGGAGGGTCAAGAGGATATCACAGAGCTGACTGACCCCATTACAAACACGTGTGTGTGTGTGTGTGTGTGTGTGTGTGTGTGTGTGTGTGTGTGTGTGTGGTAGTCAGCAATATCTGACCTTCATGAACATGCTGAAGCCGGTCTTGAGCAGGTCCGTGAGGCCTCCGGACATGTAGTCGATGTCGGGACATTCAGGTCTGTCAGGGCGGAAGACTTCCTCCAGGATCTGCCGCAGAAAAGGACGATACGTCGCCTGCAAAACGGCAAACAACACATTTGAGCGTGAGTATCATGTTAACACCCCTACCAAGTACACAGTTTGATTTGAAAGGGTTTGTTAGAACTGTGATAATCGACAGTAAACACAGTGTTTGTGAACCTCTGTTTATTGAAAAGCGGTTGCCCTTCTGTTAGACTCTGCATGTTTGTGTGCGAATAGTCGTAGGTGGTACAGACAGTCATAAACAACTCTGATGGACCAAACAGGCGGTGAACTCCTGAGTCACTTCAGGAAGAGGAGCTTGAACACTGCTGCATTAGGACCAATCCTGCACTGTTGGATGAGGCTAAAAACAGCTCTGTGAGTCTTATGAGTCACCGCTAAAGGGTAAATCTGGTTAAGAATAAACACCTGCTAGTCTGATAGGATTCATGAAAACATTGTTCTATAAATGGTACTTGCCAAACTACCTTTATGGATGGGGAGGGTAATGTGGGTGAAACATCAACTTTTTTGTAGGCTCCCATTAAATGTTGTTAAGAAAGTCTTGGTCCTGATGTAATGTATCCTACTGACTGTGGTGCCTTTTACATTTCTCTGAGCGCCACCATGATGTTCATATGTTTATATTTTTGATTGATTTCCATTTAATCCTCATTACATGCAGGTTGTTTTGTTTGTTTTTACCAATGCTTTTTTGTTTTTTATTTACACAGAGTAAATGGTGTTCACCCCTTATGTGTAAAACCTAAAATTAAATGTATGTACCCATGAAAACAGTCATTTTTTTCCAATAATATAAACATATTGACACTATCCTATACATAACATGCCTTTTCAAAACAGGCAAAACAACCTGGATCCCTTTTCCATAGTTATGAGCTAAAACACATAGAAAATACAGTTTTTCCATCCCCTTCTATTTGACAGTGAAAAGCAGAGTTTCAGGATGTTGATGTCCTTGTGGGAGCTGAACTGCAGAACCTCGACTTAAGTCTCAGACATGCCTCCTCAGATTCTTTAAAAGGTGATCCATAAAAAGCCTTCTCTGCCCAGCTACCCAGGACGGAATGTACCATTTATAGGCCTCAAAGCTAGCGGATCAAGAATTCAAGACCCTTTTTTTTTATTTTTTTTTTAAGGTTGCTGTCTCAGAGAACAATAAAGACCCAGATGAGACTTGGCAGGGCTTTATTTAAGAACTCCAAATAGCAAAGGTCTTAAAATAGAAAGGTTAAATACCTTCCAGTACAGTGAATGACTTTCATTTTACATGAGGCTAGAGTTAGTAACCATTAACAGAACAGTGAACCGGCTATTGGGCAAAAAGAGATACAACGACAACAAAGAGGCACAAAAGCCCTACGAAGAGACCTAAAACAATAACAAAGAAACACAAAACTAGAGACAGATGCAACACAAACACAAGAAGTTACAAAACAACAACAAAACGAGGCTTAACAAGAATGACGTTTTTATATCTTGCCCCCATGTGGGATTTGTTGTGGGGTCTTTTGAATGTCTGTACCCAGGGTCCTATCATCTCAAAATCCACTTAAGTTAGTGACATTAAGGCTAAATACAAACATGTGAAGCAAGTGTGGAATAACACTTTCTCTTCCGATGATGTCGGAACATCTGGACCGTAAAAAAGTATCAATCTACGTAACTGATGATTCAAGCATTACATACGCACACCTACACAAACACACAGTTGTTTATATGCTAATGTTCCAGGTTTTTCCACCCACATGCATCCTTTCACCTTAATTTGGAGTATCAGTATGCATCACTCTCACACCCACTCATCCAGTCCCTGGAGAGCAGCAGAATTAGGCCTGGGGGAATCCTGTTGTCCATGATGTATAAAACATGATTTATGTATAAACTAATATGTACTTCTGCCAACATGACATGAATACCTGGGTCAGCCTGCACAAGCTAAGCTGGGAGTAAACACATTAATGATTCACCTCCGGTTGAATAACACGCTCACGCACGCACAGACAAAACCAACAGCAAACAACCGTGGTCACACACAACAACACTCTAATCCAGAAAGCTTAAAAAAAATCCCATTTAAGTACACACACACACACACACACACACACACACACACACACACACACACACACACACACACACACACACACACACACACACACACACACACACACACACACACACACACACACACACACACACACACACACACACACACACACACACACACACACACACACACACACACACACACACACACACACACACACACACACACACACACACACACACACACACACACACACACACACACACACACACACACACACACACACACACACACACCATGTATACTTCACTTCAGGGGACATTACATTGACTTACATGCATTTCCTGGAGACTTATCCTAACCTTAACCATAACCAACACATGCCTAACTCTAAACCCTTACCCTAATCCTAATCCTAAACCTAACCAAGTCTTCACCCTAAAATTAATGATTCCCCTCATGGGGACCTCCAATTTGTCCCCATAAGGGCGGCGAGTCCCCAAACGTGACTGTGTAAATAGATTTAGGTCCCCACAAGTATAGTAATGCTAGACCACACACACATCCTTGTGCAACTCAATTGTGGGGCCCGAACTGATTTTACTCAATTGTGGGGTCCACCCTTTCCAACTATACTAGACCTCCGTAAAAAATCAAGCAATATAGAAAAACAATCACACACCACACACACACACACACACCACACACACACACACACACACACACACACACACACACACACACCACACACACACACACCACACACACACCACACACACACACACACACACACACACACACACACACACACACACACACACCACACACACACACACACACCACACACACACACACACCACACACACACACCTACACACACACACACACACACACACACACACACACACACATACACACACACACACACACACACACACACACACACACACACCACAACACACACACACACACCACACACACAATGAAAGCAATATTTGGAACCAGTCGTATAATAATGCCAGTGCTTAAATATTCATGTTCTGCACCCAAACATGTGAGCACACATACTCTGATATGTGGGTATCAGTTTTCTTGCCAGAGTAGGCTGAACCACATCAAAAACAACAGTTACATCAAAAACACACAGAGAGCAAAATAAAGAACAGGCTGAAATGTCTTTGAAATAATGTGGTCATACGTATCAAGAAGTTTCACTATGCAACTCATTTCAGAAAGAGTACAGCATGTTTTCTCCTAATGCTCACAGGAAGGAAGTCATTTGTTTATTCAATACAAACAAAGAGGTGTCAAAATGTCGATTTGTAGTACCATTATTGGCTGAAGTATTGCTTGGCAGGGCACAGTGACTTTGTGAAGTCGATTTAACTTTATTGCAAAAAGAACTGCACTGAAACTCATAACCTTAAAGGTGGGGTAGGTAATTTTGGAGTAACTAGCTCGAGTGCGCTAGAATTTGAAAATACACAACCGGAAAAAATCTGCCACTTCCTTACAGAGCCCCTCCTCCAACACACACGAACGTGCACATGACCAATGAGGGCACGAGGTAAGTTTGTGCACAGATGGAAGGCTGACAGGCAGGTAGGCCATCCAGTTATTTTAGCCGGGCCGGCTCAGATGATTGGTCGTGCTTTTTACAGTACTACGGCTTCCACAGATGATGTGGAAAGCACTTAAGATTTTCATTGCTATCGGGATGTTAAGTGTATCTCGAGCCGGTTTCTCAAATGTACCTACCCCACCTTTAACTAGGGGGAAACGTAGGATATGTTATTTTACAATTTGGGTAATCTGACCCTTTTCTTTACAGTATTCACTGATGTGGTCATTGGTCAAATGGTCGAAGCTATCTGGATGTATTTTATTTGTAAGAAATCATTTTCTATGAGAGACAATATTGATTGATTGAGATGACGTTGTTTAATCATAACTGGGTGTTTGCAGTTTATTTATTTATTTTGTTTGCTATTTTATAGAATATAATTGACCTCTTTTATGTATTTGTTTGTTTATTTATTTGTTGTTTTGTTTGTTTTCAATAACAAATGTATTTCTATAAGAAAAATGGATGTGTAATTAAGTAGATTATTTGTTTATATATCATTTAGAATCAGTAATATTTTTGTATATCAATTTCACACTGCTTAATTTTGTATTGTAAAACAATTATCATGTTAAATGTCTGTATAATTGTTTTACACATTCTAAATAAATCAAATTGTAAATAATAAAGACCATTGGCCAATACCTCAGCCTCACCACACCTGCTGCTCACGTGTGTGCACGTTGTCTTTGATTGTCTTATTCCCTATCTTACAAATCAATAGATTTATAAAATAAATCCAGATAAGGAAGTAATCTGAGTTCATGATTGCCAGACATATGCAAAGTATTTTAACAATCTAATTTACAGTAAGTGTATTGTAATAAAACCATGACTCTGATATACAATGATATATACCATGATTTAATATTTGGCTACCCTTAGTGTGAACGCTTGTCTCATTACAGACAGCATCACACACCAGCTGCTACAGCCTATGTCACTCATTGATATTTTCTTCCAAGAAATTCGACACTGTTGGGTTACTCAGAGAGACATGTGCTCTGGAAACATGCAAATGTTATGCTCCAAAACGTGTTTACATGTGTGAGTGAAAGCAAATGAGTGCTGCTGTCTGCTGCTCTGATTGATTATGAGTGGCATAAACAGAGCGTGATTGAAGCCATCGGAAAAAACTGTAATGCTCTCATCTTTATAAGTTCATTAAATTGCTATTGTCAATTTAGTCTGTACCTAGAAGCTCTGCACTCAGGACAGCTTTAATAAGAGGAAGACATCCTGGCCGACAGCTATCGGCTCTCCAGGTGCTGAGACTGCATGCTGAGAGCGGCTGAGAGATTGAAAGACGTTTCCCAGGAACAGTTTGGAGCTGAAAGATCATCACGCTGCCCTTTCTTTATATGAAATAATTTTCTTAACGCAGCAGGAACAAGGACAGACAGTACGGTCCCAACAGAAACACAATGAGGTTCACACTCATACATAGACACACGGATATGGACACTTTTATTATTATGACATGGATGAGATGATGTTCAGTAGTAATGACATCCAGCAACAACACTTCTTAAAATTATATAAAGTTTAGATTCAGATGGCATGTTTTGATTCTCTGCCAAAAAAGTCAATACAAATGTTCCCAAAAATTGTAAAAGGTGTTGTACTAACTACTTAAATATATTAAGATGGCAACATAGATAAAAAACGGCTTAATTAAAGGTGCCCTAATATATTTTTCAACAATATATTATAGATCTTAGATATATACAAAACACGTCTCTGAAGTGTTTGGCTCGAAATACCAAACAGATCATGCATTGTAGCATCCCATAAACCCCTCTGTTTCAGCCCCGTTTCAAAAGGGCTGATTCTCTGTCTGTTACTTTAGATGAAAAATAAGGAGCCACTCCCCATGCGCCTCTGAGAAGGTCATCATTTTGAAAAACCACAATGGTGCTCTAGGAGGAGATTCAAGTGATAAGGTGTCACCTTGATTGGTTATTGGCTAATGGTTGCACAACCCAAAAAAACATTGTGACATCATAAAGTGGCCACAATCTGATCAGCTCATTTTCAGACAGGTTTCTATATACAGTGGGGCAAAAAAGTATTTAGTCAGCCACCAATTGTGCAAGTTCTCCCACTTAAAAAGATGAGAGAGGCCTGTAATTTTCATCCTAGGTATACCTCAACTATGAGAGACAAAATGAGAAAAAAAAAATCCAGAAAATCACATTGTCTGATTTTTAAAGAATTTATTTGCAAATTATGATGGAAAATAAGTATTTGGTCAATAACAAAAGTTAATCTCAATACTTTGTTATATACCCTTTGTTGGCAATGACAGAGGTCAAACGTTTTCTGTAAGTCTTCACAAGGTTTTCACACACTGTTGCTGGTATTTTGGCCCATTCCTCCATGCAGATCTCCTCTAGAGCAGTGATGTTTTGGGGCTGTCGCTGGGCAACACGGACTTTCAACTCCCTCCAAAGATTTTCTATGGGGTTGAGATCTGGAGACTGGCTAGGCCACTCCAGGACCTTGAAATGCTTCTTACGAAGCCACTCCTTCGTTGCCCGGGCGGTGTGTTTGGGATCATTGTCATGCTGAAAGACCCAGCCACGTTTCATCTTCAATGCCCTTGCTGATGGAAGGAGGTTGTCACTCAAAATCTCACGATACATGGCCCCATTCATTCTTTCCTTTACACGGATGAGTCGTCCTGGTCACTTTGCAGAAAAACAGCCCCAAAGCATGATGTTTCCACCCCCATGTTTCACAGGAGGTATGGTGTTCTTTGGATGCAACTCAGCATTCTTTCTCCTTCAAACACGTCTAGTTGAGTTTTTACCAAAAAGTTCTATTTTGGTTTCATCTGACCATATGACATTCTCCCAATCCTCTTCTGGATCATCTAAATGCTCTCTAGCAAACTTCCGATGGGCCTGGACATGTACTGGCTTAAGCAGGGGGACACGTCTGGCACTGCAGGATTTGAGTCCCTGGCGGCGTAGTGTGTTACTGATAGCCTTTGTTACTTTGGTCCCAGCTCTCTGCAGGTCATTGACTAGGTCCCCCCGTGTGGTTCTGGGATTTTTGCTCACCGTTCTTGTGATCATTTTGACCCCACGGGGTGAGATCTTGCATGGAGCCCCAGATCGAGGGAGATTATCAGTGGTCTTGTATGTCTTCCATTTTCTAATAATTGCTCCCACAGTTGATTTCTTCACACCAAGCTGCTTACCTATTGCAGATTCAGTCTTCCCAGCCTGGTGCAGGTCTACAATTTTGTTTCTGGTGTCCTTTGACTGCTCTTTGGTCTTGGCCATAGTGGAGTTTGGAGTGTGACTGTTTGAGGTTGTGGACAGGTGTCTTTTATACTGATAACGAGTTCAAACAGGTGCCATTAATACAGTTAACAAGTGGAGGACAGAGGAGGCTCTTAAAGAAGAAGTTGCAGGTCTGTGAGAGCCAGAAATCTTGTTTCTTTGTAGGTGACCAAATACTTATTTTACCGAGGAATTTACCAATTAATTCATTAAAAATCCTACAATGTGATTTCCTGGATTCTTTCCCCCCATTCTGTCTCTCATAGTTGAAGTGTACCTAGGATGAAAATTACAGGCCTCTCTCATCTTTTTAAGTGGGAGAACTTGCACAATTGGTGGCTGACTAAATACTTTTTTGCCCCACTGTAAATGGATCAGGACAAAAAGTGAGATAATCTTTTTTCCTGAAACTAGAAGCAAGAAAATAAAAACGGATCTTGAGCTCTCAACGACTTACCTTTATGCACCTGAACTATAATGTATTGCTATGCCCAATCTTAGTGAAGGACATCAACAGTGAAGCTGCACTATTGACAGTATTGCATAAAAGGTAAGAGCCTTGTGTGTGGACAAAGATTTAAAAAAAGACCTTCTGAGTACATAAGCTCTAAGAAAAATATTCTTTCTCTGTGCTGTATGCCAGTGACTCAACCTGGGAGGTAAAAGAAGCTCTGCTCAACATGTGCCTCTGTTACTAGTCAGGCAAGAGTGCGATAAAATGGTGAATAAAACATATGGGAAACAAGCTGTGTGTAAGGAGCAATAGTCATATTCCGTTCTGAAGTATACTGGTGGATATAGATATGTTGTTGGAACTGTCTTGACTGTAATAGATTGGATTTGACCACTAAAAGGAACCCACCCTGCAACATAAAGTCTATGTGTGTATGTGTGTTTTTGACCTGGTGAACTCCGTCGCTGGCGGTGTAGACGGAGCGCAGTTGCTTGAGGTGATCTCTGGCGTGACTCAAACCTCTCAGCGTGTCGAACATCTTCTCCACAGCAGAATGGGCTCGCTCCGTGGTCAGCTCCTCTGGGTTTGCACAACCTAACAAACACAAAACACAAGCAACAATGTATAAAATTGCTTAATTGTTGTGCGTTAGGTTGTAAAGTTTCACATAAAATCTGAAACACCTACAGTTCCTTTAGACTGAACCGAGAAAAATGCTAATCATGCAAGAAAACATTTACATCTGCAAAAAAAAATGGCCCATAAGATGAAACATCTTGTTTTTTTGTGGGAAGCTTTCTCAGCTGGGTGTGCACTGAAACCAATTATCAAGGTAAACGCATGGCAGCGAGAGGACAAGAGCTCCTTTATTTGAGCAGAAAACACTGCTGTCTAATCAAAAGCTAATGTTCCCTTCTTTTCCAAAGAAGTGCGTAGGGAAGCAAAGACCTGCTGGGAAATAAATGCAAAATGACAGAGCAAAACATAAGAGGAGAGAAACAGAGAGGCTGTGACAGAAAGAGAGTGGGGGCAGGAAAAAGAGCATAAGAATTTGAAAGCAAAAAGTAAACAGAGTGAAAGTGAGACGGTGAAAGTAGACAGAGGATGGTATCGAAGCAGGCAGTGGAAAGCGCTGTTGGCAAAGTAGATGGACTGGCACCTGCACTTCCCACTGGCACGGCTCAGGAATGTAGCTGCCTTCTGTTAACAGGAAGGTCAGCTAGAAAAGCAAACCTGAACTCAGCATAGCTCCCTCTGAAAGACTCAAAACAAAGGACATCAAGGTTCAAGGTTCTTTATTTGTCATACGAACATCTACAGAGTAGTTATGTCGATGAAAATCTTAGGTCACAGGCTTCTCCAACAGTGCAACACAATAATACAGAAAGTAAATATTAAAAAGTAAATACAAAAAGAAAAATAGTTTAAAAAAAGTGAAGTAGTGAAATAAGAGTCTATATGCAAGCTATTGGAATGATATATTAGATAAATAGATAAATCATTAGTCTTTTTAAAGGGTAATTTCATATTGTTCGCCTATGGCAGACTTTTACTGACTAAAACTTTAAGCTCCCACTTCCTCCCAGTCAGATGCTTTGAACCGGGTGCTGGGATAAGAAGATTAACCAACAGGAGCCACTAAGCATCTTCCTCCTCTTCACACCGGCATATATGGTTACATATTTCCGAAGAGACCATGCATAACACAAGCTTTACGCTTTATGTATCGCACCAGAAGAGGAACAGCTTATACTGTACCATATGCACCTTCAAATCATTTAAAAAACAGCCCTAAAGCCACACAACTAACAGTACATAACCAAGCACAGTAAAGCTTTGAGCTAAATGGAAATGTCAGCAAGCTTACAAAGACTTATAATATTAAATAAAAAATGCAGGAATAATTAGGAAAATACTGTGGACGTTAAAACAAACCATTTCAATCGCCCAGTAGCAAAGCCTTACACTCAATGAAAGTGGGAATTACCAAGCACTCCAACTTTGACTTGACTAATAAGGCGAGACTTGAAAGGATCTGCATGACTCCTGCCACCACAGGTTACCATCAAACACAGGAAACTCCTCTAAAGCTCCTACTTCAAGATTACATCACAATGTCTGCTCACATATCATACAGCTCTACTTTACATTCAAAGCACATGCATACACTTATATGTGAGTAATACACTGTATGAGTGTTGAAAACAAAATCTCCCTCTGACATACTGACCGTTACTGCTGTAATTGATGGTATGTATTTGTAAGAAAAGCTATATTACTCCTAACTGTTTTTCCTCTCACTGTAAAGACAATGTATAACCTTTCACAAGGCCTTTATACTTTGCTTCATTTCATTTGGCACATGATACAAGTTGTGGAATACATCAACGTCAGCAGAGAGAGATAAGGGAACTTTATCAGGCTTTACTCTGTTATTTCTTCTCTGTTAGTTCCTTTCCCTTCCCTTACAGGCAATATCACATTTAGCAAGGCAAATCTTTGTTTTGAGTTGCTGTCCTGGGGAATGTAAAGCGTCAGGCCTGGCTGTGAGGTAGCAGGGCTATTTGACGGAGCAGAGCGTGAAGACTCAGTGAGATGAGGGTCTTATCTTTCCAGACACCCGCAGAGGAGATCCTACAAAACATACTACAACTGATGTTTGTCTATGAGCATTTCTACTTTCAAATAACCCTACAATACAAGAGAATAGTGCAAACACAACATGCAAATATGCTGTACATTTAGAATAAAGACATGGAAGTAACCATCTGTTTAAATCCGCTGCTTAGATCCAATGTATTTGTACGAGGGGTGCACTGGAATGGGAGATACATCACAAGGGCTAGGTAGGAGGAGGTGTGTAAATATGTTCGAGTGATTGCATGTCTTCTGAGAAGGAGCTGGTTGACTTATCACGTTCGGTCTGTGGAAATCGGTGTTTTGGATGTTAAATGCGGCAGATCCTGAGCGGGAGCAGGTCCACTGACTGATCCAGGAACATCCAACTTGGCTGCGAGGCTCAACACCTGTGTTTAATTTCATCTCACACGGCACGGCCACGCCACCCACCATAAGGGCACCGCACCTCATTCACAACTCCACACAGAGTCTCTCACGCAAACATGTGAGCTGCATCCGGTTTATTCATATCAAGAGCATAATAAATGCTTATTCATTAGGCAGCTTTCTTCTAGCTAAAGTGCTTATCTTTATGGGATTACACCAAATGTATATATGTCATTTGAACAGCTTGAGTGCCATCATCGTCTCTACTTCCCGAAACAACTCAGTTTAACAGTCAACAACCTGGTTTTATAAGATGACACAGACATAATATCCAATACCGAATCAGCACAGCGCTTCTAAGAGAAACATTAGGGAGGAAATGTAATTTTGTCTACATACAGAGGACAAAAAGAGTGCAGGCAGGAAACGGTCTATTGAAGGTTTTCTTAATAAGATTGAACAGAGCCGGAGGTGAGCAATAGAAACTAAGAGGGCTGTGAGCGTAACCGGTGACGCTCAGAAGCTGGAAGTCCAAAGCAAAGGCACAGAGGAATGCATCACTAATGAATGGAGCTCGATCTGGATTAATTCAAATCAACAAATAACAAACACATGCTTGGTGAATAATACTGCGGCTCTGAATTGTGTCCTGTGGTAATATCTGAATAATGTCATGTGCCTATTGTGATGTTTCATGATGCTGACACTGCCGTAATGAGCTTTCCCAGCATGCTTTGCCTGGAGCAAATTCCACCGACGTCAGTTACGTGGTCAACACTAAATGATTCACTGATTGAAAACATGGTAAAAAATGACTTTAGAATATGATTAAGCAAACTGGGTACACAAATCATGTAAATAATAGACAAAAAAAAAAAAAAGACTTACAAAAAGTAATGCGGTAATATCGCGCTTTTCCAGTCTTTGATACACGTCAAAGTGCTTTAACACAAACAAGTCAACATTTACACATTCACACACATTCATACAGAGACAGAGGCTATCATAGAAGGAGCCACCTGCTCAGGGAGACTGATATTCACACACATTCACCCACCGGTGGCCATGGGAACAATTTAGAGGACAAGTATCTTGCCCAAGGACATTTTGATCCAACCACAGACATCAGATGTGAACAATTTGAAAGTATGAATGCACTTAAGTCATTTACCTCTGCTAACAAAACATATGGCCTCTGCTAAAGAAAACATGGAACATTGAATACAAAAAAACGCAGTATGTTTCCTTAACAACCATCAAAACACTGCAACTATCACCATGTGCGCCTGACACCACAACCCAAGCTAATCGCTCTGTACTTATCAGTGGAATGTAGACAACAAGGCTACTTTTAAATATCCTGGATTATTTTTAAACTAAATAGAAAAAATAACAAAAGTATGTGATTTTTTGAAAGGAAATTGCAATACTTTTTTTTTTTACAAAGACTTTATGTTCATGTGGAATGCTAGGAAGGAAGACGTCTTTGCTACTGTATGGCAGGATGAATGAATAGAGGTGGTGGGTTTTCAGAGCCATGTGCTCCTTTCTCCTCTCTCAGAGCTGTCACATGGGCAAACGTGTCGCCTCTAGGTCAAGAAGGAATGAATTTCGCTTGGTGCAATCATCAGGGTCATAAAAGCCAAGCGGATTTGATGACTCATGCACATATATTGGTATAGAATCCATTAACACCCTAAATTAAGGAGTAGCCTTCGATGTTATTGTTGCACCTATTTAATTACCTTCCTAACAAGCATATTTAGCTCAAATCAGCCCAATCATCTATCAAATAACATTTAATAAACAGGTTTAGAAAAAGAAAATGAACCACACTTACAGTACATAATGAAAAATAATTGTTTTGCTTTTAATACTGGATATGTGAAGAAATTGAATGAAGAATTTGATCATTTATAAGAACATATTTGCCAACTTCATACATCTACTGTAGTGAGCGAGTCTGAGTGATGGAGGTGGGTCCACACACAGCAGTCTGGATTCCTATGTTAAGCTTTAATCCTCTCCAGAATGGCCCCTCTGAGAGAAAACACAAGACCTGTTAATCTGGGCTGCTTCATAGACTCTTTAGGAAGTGCAGAACAATGCCACACACACACACACACACACACACACACACACACACACACACACACACACACACACACACACACACACACACACACACACACACACACACACACACACACACACACACACACACACACACACACACACACACACACACACACACACACACACACACACACACACACACACACACACACACACACACACACACACACACACACACACACACACACACACACACACACACACACACACACACACACACACACACACACACACAGTCTTTCCTTCAAACTCATTATTACATTTATTTAGATGACCCTTTTAGCCAAAGCCACTTACAATAAATGCATTTAAACTCAAACAGCAATAATCCTGCAAGAACATTAGCTATCCATAAGCCAAGCCATTGTAAGTGCTACTGCATTGGCTTTAAATAAGCCAAACATTTCTGAGTGTGTAAACTGAATTTCTTTTAATTTTTGTATTCGCCAACC